TATTTTAACAAGTATTTTGACTTAATTACCAATTAATAGATATCACTATGTCATTCTGTCTTGCATAAAATATTCTAATATACCTTACATACCACTTGAGCTGAACCAGTCCACACACGCTAACTGGGTTGGAGGTATGCTTGTGTGTAATACTAGAAGTAATGGTTGTAGTCCCCTATCCTTAGTATAATACAATAGCGATATCTTATACAAAGCAACTGTTACGCTGAAATCAAAACAAAGTTGTATTTACTGGATAATACAGGTAAATATTTTATGCAGGTTGTTTTTTCTAGAAACTTTATTTTGAATTCATTATAGATTCATAGGAAGTTGCAAAGAAATGTACAGGGGTCTTGACTTGTTTTTGCCCAGTGTTAACATTATGTATAGCTTGCAGTACCATATCAAAACCAAATCATTGGCATTGTTTACAATCCAGAGAACTTATTCATATTTCCCTAGTTATAAATGCACTTATGTGTATGTGTGTAGATCTATGCAATTTTAAATGGATAGGTAAGCATCACCACAATGAAGATACAGATCTGTACCATCGATACTATAGGGCTTTTTTGTACTATCCCTTTGTAGCCACATTTACCCCATCCCTAATTTCTGGCCACTAATCTGGTCTCCATTTTCGTAATTTTGTTATTCAGAAATGTGGTATAAATGGAATCCTATAACTTTTTGAGGTTTATCTTTTTACTTAGCACAGTTCTCTTGAGGTTCATCCAGACTGCTTTGTGTATCACCAGTTCTTTTTTATTGCTGAATAATATTCCCTGGTATAGCTGTACCACAGTTGGTTTAACCATTGTTAAACCACTGTTCATTGAAAGACATTTAGGTAGTTTGCAGTTTTTAGATATTATGAATAAAACTGTTATGAACATTTGTATGTAAGCGCCTATATGAAATGTCTTGATTTTTCTGAGCTAAAACCCATAGAGTACAATTGTTGGGATGTATGGTAAGTCTATTTGAAAGGAATTTCCAGGCTGTATTCCAGAGTGACTACCATTTTATATATCTACCTACAATATATAATTGTCTGATTTCTCTCTATCCTCATTAGTGTTTATTGTCACTGTTTTTAATTTTAGCCATTTTGATAAGTGTGTAGTGATGTCTCATTGTGTTTTAATTTGCATTTTCCTGTAGACTAAGATGGTGAATATCTTTTCATGTGCTTATTTGCCATTTGGTAAAATGTGTGTTCATGCCTTTTGCCCATTTTCTTTCTCTCAAGTTTTGAGAATTCTTTTTATATTCTAGCTCTAGGCTTTTGTCAGATACATAGGTTGTACATATTTCTTCTGTAGTATCTTTTTTAAAAATTGGAATATAGTTGCTTTACAACATTTTGTTAGTTTTTGCTGTACAGTGAAGTGAACCAGCTGTATGTATGCATATGTCCCCTCTCTGTTTGCCCTCCCTCCCACCCTGACTTCCGTCCCACCCCTCTAGATCATCACAGGGCATGGCGCTGAGCTCCCTGTGACATGCAGCAGGTTCACACTGGCCATCTGTTTTATACATTGTAGTGCGTATATGTCAATCCCAATTCATGCTACCCCCTTCCCCCTCACCTCCCATGTCTAAACATCTGTTCTCTACATCTGCATCTCTGTTCCTGCCCGGTAGATAGGTTCAGCTGTAACATTTTTTTAGATTCCACATATATGCGTTAATATACAATACTTGTTTTTCTCTTTCTGACTTCATTCTGTATGACACACACTACGTTCATCCACCTCACTCCAACTTACCCAGTTTTGCCCCTTTCAGTGGCTGAAGAATATTCCATTGTGGGTGTGTACCACATCTTTATCCATTCATCTAATCAGTGGACACTTAGATTGCCTTCATGTCCTGGCTATTGTAAATGGTGCTGCAGTGAACATTGGGATTAGTGTCTTTTAGTTTTTTAAGGAACCTCCATACAGTTTTCCATGGTGGCTATGTCATTTACATTCCCAGCAATGGTGCAAATACTGCTGTGCTAAATCACTTCAGTCGTGTCCAGCTCTTTGTGACCCTGTGGACTGTAGCCCACCAGGCTCCTCTGTTCATGGGATTCTCCAGGCAAGAATACTGGAGTGGGTGGCCATGCCCTCCAGGGGATCTTCCCAACCCAGGGATCAAACCTGCCTCTCTTATGTCTCCTGCATTGTCAGGCGGGTTCTTTACCACTGGTTCCACCTGGGAAGTCCAGTAGTGCAAGACAGTTCCCTATTTTCCTCTCCCTCTCCAGCATTTATTCATAAAACTTCTTTTCTAGATTATCCTCTAAATTGGAGGATAATTACTTCACAGTGTTGTGTTGGTTTCTCTGTGCGACAACGTGAATCAGCTGTAAGTATATGTATATGTCCTCTCTCTCGAGCCTCGCTCCCACCCTTCCGTCCCACCTTTTCTAGCTCATCACAGAGCACCAGGCTGAGCACCCTCATTACACAGCTGCTTCCCACGAGCTGTCTGTTTTACACATGGTAGTGTATATATGTCAGCGCTATTCGCTGTATTTGTCCCACCCTCTCCTTCCCCTGCTGCATCCGAGAGTCCATTCTCTATGTCTGCATCTCTAGTCCTGCCCTGCAAATGGGTTCATCAGTACCATTTTTCTAGATTCTTACATATATGCGTTAATACAAGGTATTTTTTTTTCTCTTTCTGTCTTACTTCACTCTGTATGACACACACTAGATTCATCCACCTCATTCCAACTGGCTCAATTTTGTTTCTTTTTATGACTAATATTCCATGTACCTATGTACCACAACTTCTTTATCCATTCATCTGTGGATGGACATGTAGGTTGCTTCCATGTCCTGGCTGTTGTAAATAGTGCTGCAGTGAACACTGGGATACATGTGTCTTTTTATGGTTTTTTCAGGGTATATGCCCAGAAGTGGGGTTGCTGGGTCATACAGTAATTTTATTCCTACTTTTTAAAAGAATCTCCATACTGTTCTCTGTAGTTGCTCTATCAATCTACATTCCCACCAGCAGTGCAAGAGGGTTCTCTTTTCTCCATATCCTCTCCAGCATTTCTTGTTTGCAGATTTTTAAAAATAATTTTATTTATTTGGCTTTGCTGGGCCTTCATTGCTTTAAGGCCATTCCCTAGTTGGGCAAGCAGGGGCTACCCTGTCTGTGGTGCTTAGGCTTCCTGTTGGGGTGGCTTCTTTTGTTGCAGAGCACAGGTTCTAGAGCGTTTGGACTTCAGTTTGTGCAGGCCCCAGGCTCCAGAGCACAGGCTCAGTAGTTGTGGCACACAGCTCAGCACTCAGGCCTAGTGCCCTGTGGCACGTGGGCTCTCCCAGGGGTTGGATCTGTGTCTCCTTCATTGGCAGGCAGATTCTCTATCTCGGAGTCACCAGGGAAGCCCTGTTGTTTGTAGATTTTTTGATAATGGCCATTCTGACCACTGTGAAGTGACACCTCATTGAAGTTTTGATTTGCACTTCTCTAGTAATGAGTGATGTCGAGCATCTTTTCATGTTTGTTGGCTGTATCTGTATGTCCTCTTTGGAGAAATGTCTGTTTAGGTCTCCCACCCATTTTTTGATTTGGGTTGTTTGTTTTTCTGATGTTGAGTTGCATGAACTGCTTGTATATTTTGGAGAGTAATCCTTTGTCAGTTGCAATTTTCTTCCGTTCTGAGGTTTGTCTTTTCATCTTGTTTATGGTTTCCTTTGCTTTTGCTAAGGCTTTCAAGTTTAATTAGGTCCTGTTTGTTTTTACTCTCTTTAGGAGATAGGTCAGAAAAGGTCTTGCTGTGATTTATGTCAGAGTTTTCTGCCTGTGTTTTCCTGTAAGAGTTTTACAGTGTCCAGTTTTACATTTGGCTTCTTAATCCATTTTGAGTTTACTTTTGTGTATGGTGTTAGAGAATGTTCTAATTTCATCGTTTTACATGGAGTTGTCCAGTTTTAGCAGCACCACTTGTTGAAGAGACTCTTTTTTCCCCACTGTATGTTTTTTTTTTTTTTTTTAATGATGCAAAGAATTTATATCCTCCCATACTGATGGATAAAAACACATTACATTCTCTAAGCATAAAGCTTATATTCACAATAACTTTTTGCTTAAAGACAAATGTCAATTAATAATCACAATGGAAATTTAGCTGTTTAATGCAACCACTAATCTAATGTCACCAATAAAATCTAAGCAGTTATATCACAAAACCAGAGTTATATTCAGTGAACATGCATTAATAATCTATACAATTTAACATTACACCAGAAAAGGAACTGAATACAAAATTTTCCTTGATATTTGGTGGTTTTCAAACTGCATGGCACAGATTACCCAAAAAGAAAAAAATTGTAAAAACAGATTTTAAGTATTTTCAATAAAATGGTAAAAAATTGAACAAGCCGTTACGTTTTCATATTGGGGTGAATATTTAAAACATCAAGCTGGCCCCAATCTGTCAAAAATTGACAGGTAAATATTTACAATGGCTAGACAGGCTTTCAGGTACCGTGGTATTGGAGGGTAACTTTCCCCTGGTAAAAACCTTTTATGGTTAATTTCCCAATGCAAACATGTTTTCATAAATACTGTGATAATATAAACTTGGAAACATACCAGAAATCAGGACAGGGACAAAAAATAACAACACAAGTCAATCTTATTTCTGACCTGTATTCATAAAGCCTTCTGGGTCCAAACACCACACACTGTCCTTCATTATAAAACTAAATTAAGAAGAGTAGAATGACTTTACCATTCTGGCTGACATTCTTCTACAGAATTATCTTTCACTACACATCAAGGCAGGGTTCAAGCTCCATTAGCTTGCTTCTCTAGATACAGTGTAATTAGCAGAGCACCAAATTTATAAACTGATATGGCAACCCAAAATGCTAAACACACTTTTCAAACAAGCAAATTTTCCCTATTGTTAGTTCTATGTGCCATGTTATTTTTGAAACTTATGCAGCTACCAGTAAGAAAAGAATTAGGGAAGCTTTGAACATATCTTGTACTTTTCATCAAGGCTAAAGTGCAAAATATCTCCATGTCTCTGGTATTTTAATAGGAAAAAACATACACACAATAAAGGAAATGAGGTGACAATAAAATACAAAGAAAAAGACTTTTTAAAATACACACTTGAAGACTACATAAGAACAATTTTTCTTTTTTCAATGAAATCTGTGAATGAACCAAGTTCTCACAGAACTTGAGATCTTGTTTGGTTCTCTTTCCCAGGATCAGAAATTCCAAATTTAGAGGGACAAAAATGGAAGAAAATAACATTGCATGACAATGGACACTAAGTTCATAAAGAACTTTTCTTTAAAAATGATATATTATGGAAGAAAATACCATGAAAATAATAATCCTATGAGAATTGTTTTTTAAGCACAGTAAATTTGAGCCTTGGTCTTCATGAAGATACTACAGCTTATATAGAAAACTATAAATATACAAGACTCCAGGAGAAAAAGTCAGAATACGTATTATTTAACATTCTGTAGGCCTAAAAAACTTTTGAAGGGAGGGAGAAAGATGGCCAACTGAATCTTCACTCAAGAATACAGAACTATGAAAAATTCCTGGGTCAAAAGTTCCAAGATGCTCCAAATGGAACCACACTTTGTGAAAACATACAATTTAGATATACTTTTTAAAGGAAAGAAGTACTGAATAATTGCAGTTCCTTCCAAAAAGGAGATCTTAAATTAAGGGGAAAAGATTCTAATAGTGTAAACGAATCTGGCTCAGAAAGAAAACTGAATAACATATCCAATGTTCTGTCCATAAAAGTAATGATGGTACATCTTTAATATTAAAGAAATAGGCTATAAAAAAGTTCATTCTCAGAACTGGTTTTAGTAAAATCTTATTTGTGCTCCTTTGTGGGTGCATAATAAAGTTCCATGGGTTTGTTCACCTTCCAGTATTTCTCACTGACCAATTCCAAAGAAAAAGAGCCATTTAACACAGTGAACTGGCCACTGGCTGTTGCTATGTAAATGGTATACTGCTTCTCACTGGCCGTATCAAGGTTCATCTGGTTTGATTCTCCTTTGCTTCGAAGTTCTTCTAAAGCTAACCTCACAGCCAGATACTTGGATAAGTGATCAACAGTGGCATTACCTGAAGTCTTTATGTATCTTGTCTGTGCACTGTCATCTTTTTCCATAAGTGTGGGATGAGGCCTGAATACTAATTCAATTTCACTAGCGCCATCCATTACTGGGTCAATTGCCACTGCTGCATTATTATTATCAAGCTCAAGCCCAGAATCATCAGATGTTTTGGTCCGTTTGTTACTAGGTCCTGCTTCCTGATTGCTGTGCGTGGATGCGTTACTACAGTGAGAACTGTCTCCATTGTCTTCTGCTCCACTACCATTTTCAATCTGTTGTTTCTTACCTCGCTGTAATCTGTTCATAGCCTGTATCTTCAGTCCTTCCTCAATGCTGTGACTGAGTGCTTGCTGATTATTGTGCTTGTTGATCCTGGCTAATACTCTTTCTTGATGAGCTTCATACTCATCACGACTTGGATAAATTTTGCTGATGAGTGCATCAAAGTTTGGGTCTGGTCTTAGTGATCTTTTGGAAACTAGCTTTTTCCGACAGGTAGGGCATTCTTTATTGCCACTTCTGAGGGCTGTGATAATGCAGTCTGCACAAAAACGATGTAAGCACTCTTTTGTAGTCATGGTGTTCTTCAACATATCCAAACAAATTGGGCACATTAATTCACTGTGTAGACTTCGAGGTGAAACCACAATTTCTAAGCCATCTGTTATTGCCTCCTGAGGTGTTCGTTGTAGTTCATATAAACTGAGTTCCCATGTTTTGCTTAATGGTTGAGTTCCATTAGTCTGCACAGCCTGAGACATTGCGGCTCCTGCCCCAACCCGGGGCTCCGCGGGCCGCGTCCGGAGCGAGACTCGGGCACAAGCCGCCGGCGCCGCCGCACAATATGGCGAGCCTCGGCTTCCGCAATGGAGCTCGGGAAATACAACAGGGGCCGCTCAATATTCATGAGAGACCGAGGGGAAGCCGGCTTGGCCGGCGCGGCGGGGAGGGCGGGAAACCCCACTGTATGTTATTGCTTCTTTTGTCATAGATTAGGTGGCCATAGTTGTGCGGGTTCACCTGTGGGCTTTCTGTATTCTTCCATTGACCCTGTATAGATTCTGTATAGATGCTATGTACATCCTGTCCCATTGATCTATGTTTCTGTTTTTGTGCCAGTACAGTACTGTCTTGATTGCTGTAGCTTTGTTTGTAATACAGTCTGAAACCGGGAGCCTGATTGCTCCAGCTCCATTTTCCTTTCTCAAGATTCCTCTGGCTATTTTTGAGGCCTTTTGTGTTTCTATAGAAACTTTAAAAATGTTTTGTCCTAATTTTGTGAAAAATGCCATTGGTAATTTGATAGGGATTCCATTCATTGAATCTGTAGATTGCTTTGGATAGTATAGTCATTTTCACAGTTTTGGTTCTGCCAATCCAAGAACATGGTTTATCTCTTCATCTAGTTGTGTGGTCTTCGATTTCTTATAGTTCTCTGGGTACAGGTCTTTTGCCTCCTTAGGTAGGTGTATTCCTAGGTATTTTTTGTTTTTGTTGTGATGGTAAATGAGATTGTTTCCTTAATTTCTCTTCCTGATCTTTCATTGTTAGTGTATAGGAATACAAGAGATTTCTGTGCATTAATTTTGTGTCTTGTAACTTTACCGAATTCATTGATTAGTAGTTTTATGGTGGTGCCTTTAGGATTTTCAATGTATAGTACCATGTCATCTGCAAACAGTGATAGTTTTACCTCTTTTCCAATTTGGATTCCTTTTATTTCTTTTTCTTCTCTGATTGCCATGGCTAGGACTTCTAAACCTATGTTGAATAATAGTGGCAAGCATGTACATCCTTGTCTTGTTCTTGATCTTAAATGCTTTCTGTTTTTCTTCATTCAGAATGATGTTTGCTGTGGGTTTGTCTTATATGGCTTTTACTATGTTGAGATAGGTTCCTTCTAAGCCAACTTTCTGGAGAACTTTTATCATACATTGGTGTTGAATATTTGTCAGAAGCTTTTTCTGCATCTATTGAGATGATCACATGGTTTTTATTCTTCAGTTTGTTAATATATCACATTGATTTGCATATATTGAATCCTACTTGATCATGGTGTATGATTCTTTTAATGTGTTGTTGGATTCTATTTGCTAGTATTTTGTTGAGGATTTCTGCATTTATGTTCATCAGTGATATTGGCCTCTAGTTTTCTTTTTGTGTGATATCTTTGTTTGGTTTTGGTATCAAGGTGATGTTGGCCTCATAGAATGAGCTTGGGAGCCTTCCTTACTCTGCAGTTGTTTGGAAGCATTTGAGAAGGATGGGTGTTCTTCTCTAAATGTTTGATAGAATTTGCCATCTGGTCCTGGATTTTTGCTCATTGGAAGATTTTTAATCACACTTTTAATTTCACTATTTGTGATTAGTCTATGTTTTCTGTTTCCTCCTGGTTCAGTCTTAGAAGTTTGTACTTTTCTAAGAATTTGTCCATTTCTTCTAGGTTGTCCATTTTATCTGCATATAGTTGGTTGAAGTAGTCTCTTGTGATCCTTTGTGTTTCTGTGGCATCTGTTTTAGTACCTCTTGTTTCATTTCTAATATTATTGACTTGAATCCTCATTTTCTTGATTAGTCTGGCTAAAGGTTTATCGATTTTGTTTATCTTAAAGAACCAGCTTTTAGTTTCATTGATTTTTGCTATTGTTTTCTTCATTTTTATTTCATCTATTTCTGCCCTGATTTTTATTATTTCTTTCCTTCTACTAACTTTTGGTTTTCTTTTTTCTTACTCTGGTTGCTTTAGGTGCAAGGTTAGGTTGATTATTTGAGATTTTTCTTGTTTCTTAAGGTAGGGTCATACTGTAATAGACTTCCCTGTGAGAACTGCTTTTGCTGCATCCCATAGACTTTGGGTGGTCATGTTTTTGTCATTGCTTTTTATGTATTTTTTTATTTCCTCTGATTTCCTCAGTGACCTCTAATTAGATTTTCTTTCTCTTGAGCTTTGAGAATCCTTTATATATTCTAATATTAGTCTTCTGTCAGATATGTGGTTTGTACATATTTCTTCTAGTCTATAGTTTGTTTTTCATCCTTTTAACAGAGCTTCTCTTGGAGCAGAAGTTTTAAATTTTGATGAAGTCCAATTTATTGTTTTTTTTACTTTTATGGGCCATGTTTTTGATGTCAAGTCTAAGAACTGCTCATTTACTCACAGGTCTGAATATTTGCTCCATTTTTTTTTAATGTAAAGTTTTATAGTTTAAAACTATTTATAGTTTCAGGCAGTGAATCATTTTGAACTAACTTTTGCATATGATGTGAGGTTTAACTCAGGGTTCATTTTTTGGCCTTTGGGTGTCCGGTAGCTTCAGCACCATTGGAATTAGTTTCCATCGAAGTACTTTTGTACCTAAAAAATCAAGTAGGTATGTTTATGTGAGTCTGTTTCTGGGTTCTCTGTGTAACATTGATCTTTGTGTATATGCTTCAACATACATACTGTCTTGTTTGCTGTGGCTGCAGAGTGAGCCCTGACATCAGAAGTGTGATTCCTGTCACTTTTGCAAAACTGTTTTGGCCATTCTAGGACCTTTCCTTTCCCATATACATTTTCAGATAAGTTTGTCTGTCTAAAAGAAAAATAATTTGTAGGCTTTTAACAGCAATCTTGTCAAACTTTGGAAAATCATCTTTACCATGCTGAATTACTTCAGTTTTTAAATTTAAGGGAAATAAAACTAAGAATTCAGATTCTCAGTAATCCTATTTCAGGTACTCAGTAAGTCATGCTGGCTTATGGCCACTCTGTTAGACAGTGTAGTTCTAGGCTTCTGTACATGCCGTTCCCTGATTCTGGAATGCCTTTCTCCTATTCAAGAAGCTTTAATCAACTTCTTACTCTTTTAGACTCAGCTTAGATGGCACCTTGTCCTAGACATGTTCTCTGTCCCATGTATCATTTCTCAGCCCAAGTCTTCCATCGAACTGCATGTTCATTTCTATTTATGGTGATTATTATGTACTCCTGTTCAGTGTTGCATTGCATGCTGATTACCTTCTTACTTGTCTGCTTCATCACTAAATTATAAGCTACTTTGAATCAAATTGTGTGATTATCCTTGTATCTCTAGTACTTCACATGTAAATAATTGGGGAGACATGAATAGTAGTATCACATCTAGTTAATTTGCTTACCATTTTCTAGAATTGTGGCCCCTCAGCTTTTGGAGCATGTATTACCTGTGGTATATATATTTATTATAAAATCTGAGCCTGTGTTATGATTAGCTAATACCTGCAGCATATTACAATTTAGACAAGCATTTATCATTAACAGCAGTGGCTATAAATCTGTGTTTCAAATAGTCTTGATACTTTTGAAAATTTGTGGCTGAGTTTTTTTTTTTTTTTAAGATCTGATTGTATTTCCATTTTTAAAAAGTATGGTACCTCTGTCACAACTAATAAACCAGTATTGATATACTGTTACTTACTGAAGTCCGTTCTTTATTCATATTTGCTTAGATTTTACCTAAGGACCTCTTTCTGATTTAGGATCCCATTTAGGAAACCGTATTACATTTAGTTGTCCTATCTCTTTAGCCTTTTCTTACCTTTTACACCCTGTTGTTGATTAACTTAACAGTTTGAGGAGTCACAGTGTTTTGTGTGATATCCTCCAAATGGAATTTAATGTTTTCTTCATGCATAAAGTGGAATTACAGGTTTTTGGGGGGAGATCACAGAACAAGCAAATGCCATTACTGCCGTTGTTTTTGCCTCATTAATGTGACTGTTAGTGCACCAGTCATTGGAGAAGTGTCCATTCTCCATCATCTGCTTTGCTTGTGCTTGCATTATTAATACCACATTCAATGCGAAGTTTCTCTGTAGGTGTCTTTTAAAGCCATTGTTTGTCTTGTGTTAGTTTACTTAAACTTGGTAATATAAGCTATAAATCTGTTTAACTTGCCTGTCACAGTCGAGCACATCCAAATACAGCACCCTAGGAGCCAATGCACCGGTTGTAGGGTGCGGTCTCTGGCAGCTGGGTGACCTGGAGGTACTGGAGAGCTCACCTCATGTTATTTTTCTGTCTGAATTTTACATGACTTTGACTATATTATATAGTTAGGAGGATGCCAGTGACAGCCTGTAGTTTAAATACCAATAGAATAAAATTTCTCTTGTATTTTAAATGAGAAATAGAAGTTCTGATGTTTTCTTCCGTTGACCCCAGTGGATTGCCTTGCTGTAATCCCTGTATCCCTGAAGTGCTCACATCTGACTCTGGAGACCAATGATCTAGAGAACTGGAAGAATTTCCAAGATCATTTTACTGCCTCCTTAAATTGATTCTTTTCTGCATCCTCCAGACTTCCTCACATTATTATTCATTTGTGCACAGTATCCTTGTTATGACATTTCCTTCTGTTTTCTGATAACAAGACTCGATGTACATTGCTACATTCCAGTTAGTTAGAACTTGGAATCCATGTAGAAATCCTAGCCATCACTAGATTACTTGTCTTAAAAATTTTCTTTTGGGAAATGGGTTAATTAGGAGGGCACTTCTAGCAGGCTGACATTTTTATATTCTCTAGGAATATAGAATTTGAATGCTTTCACCTTTTCGCCTTTTAAGTCTTCATTTCTTTTCATCTTATAAACACCTTCCTATTTCCCCAATGGTTGTGAGTAATTCTTTGAAATGGGAAGGTGCATGTGTATAACACTGGGAAAAATTAGCAAATAATACAGACCAGGACCATTTTAAGGAAGTGCAGTATACAGGATATGAACCTAAATCATGATTAGGACTGATTGTTTTATCTCTAAAGGGATTTTTTAACGTTAACAAAGTATTTAGGAGAGCAACCCATTCATTCCATTCATTCTGTAGTTCATTTAACATAATTCAACTTGTCAAAATTTGATTCATGAAACATTTTCAGAATTTTCTGCTATACAGTGAGGCATATGTCTCTAGGCATTTATGATTGATT